TGTGCTATCTGGGCGAATTCTGAACACGATGCCGGCTCCACCACCCTTGTCTGCATCTCTAACACTCAGATTACCCTCTCACTGCGCGGTTCCTCTTTTCGGGTGTCAAGACCGTCATCCAACATCCACATTTGGCAACTGCCTGGCATGGCTAAAGCCCTTCGCCACCTCCCCTTCCCTTCCTTTTTCTTTCCCTTCTGGCTCTGATTCCCAGCTCCTCCTGTTCCTACGGGGCCAACAGAGCCGTCAAATCTCTCCCTCCTCAAGCCTTCCTCACCATCCTTCCTCCTACTTCCCTCCCTTCCTCGCCGCCCCTCCCTCCGACTGTTCCTCCCTCGTGTGCTCCTGATGCCGTCCTGCTGCTCCCCTGAACGAGCAAGAAACTGCAAAAGCAGAAACTCGCGGAAATCCGCGCGAACTTCCGAAGCAATATGTCTACATAGCGGCTTCTGATCTGACCCTGCCTGCTGCCTCGTCTAGGCGGCGCGACAAGGGGGTAGAGTGAGGGGGAAACCTTCCTAGAAGGAGTCTACTTCTTAGAAGGCGAGGGTTCTACATCTACAGACAAAACCGACGCCTTCCAAGAAGCAGGGGTGTTTCTAAGCCCTCATCCCTTTCCCCACCCCCTCTTCGCGTGGCTGACCCCGGCCGCAACCTTACCGACCCCTTCCGTGACGAACACCTTCCGTGACGTCCACCGCGCCCTCCAGGCCTCCCTCCGGCCACACACGTACATTTTGAGGTGAGGCGAGCGGGACACCACGGAAGGGGATGGTTTGCTAGGGGTCGGTCAGGCCGCCCCCGATGACCTGCCTCGCCTGCCTCGCAACCCCCCCGCATCCCCCGAAGGAGCACAACAAGCGGGAAGGCCTCGGGACCCTGGTGACCGGCCAGGCGGACCCGCTCGACGATGTCACCACGGCAGCCTCCAAGCGGGTTCGCCTGGGTGCCGCCAAGGCAAGTCGGTCGAGGGGGGGAACGAGAAAGAACTTTCCCCCCGGCGCCCGTCCTAGAGATGCCATGGGCGTTTTCTGCTACCTCTAATGTTTTTACTGCTGCCGTTGCCGTTGCCGCTGCCGCTGCCGCTGCCGTTGCTGATGCTGCTGTTGCTGCTGCTGTTGTCGTTGTTGTTGCTTGATGGTGCTATGGTTGTGGATGTTATGGGTGTTGGTGTGTTGTTGTTGCTGCTGCTGTTGTTGTTGCTGTTCTTGGATCTTCTTTTCTAGAGATTAATTGTTGTTAATCCCCCTTCCGGGTAACTGCTGTGCTCTTTCAATTCCACTGTTCTTCTCGGGGTTCGCACCATGTTTTTTAAGGGAAGGCAGGGTGCCACCAAACTGGTTTGTTGAGTCCCGATCTACACCAGCAGCGTCTCCCGCCTGATACCTCCCCACGATGAATTCCAAAATCGCGCTCTCGCGCGGGGCTTCCTCACAAGCTATGCAGGAATCGCGCTTTCGCGTGGGACTCCCTCGAAACCTATTCAGACGACGCGCCCTCGACGCTCAGGAATCACGCTCTCGCTTTTTTTTTGCGATTTAGTTGCGCGTCGCACTATAGCTCGAAACCTCTTCGCGATTCGTGCATCACTCACGCTTCAACAGCCCGCCTGCTCGATCTGGCCGCTTGGGCCCGCCTTCCCCACCCGCCCGTTTGGGGCTAACCCGCCCGATGGGCCCATTTGATTATGCCACGTGCTTTCTGCTCCTAGCCCTCTTCCAGCGAATCCCGTCTTCCATCCCTCTCCACCCCTTTCCATCCGTCCTCGTCCCCTGCCTTAGGGGCTGTACCTATTACGCACGGCAAATAAGGGAACTAGAACGCGGGTGCCGAAAACTCGGGATATACGTGTTGAGTGGCACGCGAGCAGGTAACAGCGACCAGTCTTAACATGACTGTAGTAGTGGTAGTAGTAGTAGTAGTAGTAGTAGTAGTAGTAGTAGTAGTAGTAGTAGTAGTAGTAGTAGTAGTAGTAGTAGTAGTAGTAGTAATAGTAGTAGTAGTAGTAGGAGGAGGAGGAGCAGCGGCTGTAACTATAGTAAGAATAGCAGTAACAGTAGACATAGTCGCTGTCTTAGTAGTAGTAGTAGTAGTAGTAGTAGTAGTAGTAATAAGTATAGTAGTAGTAGTAGTAGTAGTAGTAGTAGTAGTAGTAGTAGTAGTAGTCGTAGTCGTAGTAGTAATAGTAGTAGTAGTAGTAGTAGTAATAGTAGTAGTAGTAGTAGTAGTAGTAGTCGGTATAGTAATGGTACGTAGTGGAAGTAGTAGTACTAGTAGTAGAAGCAGTCGTCGTCGTAGTAGTAGTAGTAATAGTAGTAGTGGTAGTAGTAGTAGTAGTAGTAGTAGTAGTAGTGGTAGTAGTAGTAGTAGTAATAGTAGTAGTAGTGGTCGTAGTAGTAGTCGTGGTAGTAGTCGTAGTGGTGTTCATAGTAGTCGTAGTCGTAGTCGTAGTAGTAGTAGTAGTAGTAGTAGCAGCAGTCGTAGTAGTAGTAGTAGTAGTAGTAGTAGTAGTAGTAGTAGTAGTAGTCGTAGTCGTAGTAGTAGTAGTAGTAGTCGTAGTAGTAGTAGCCGTAGTCGTCGTAATAGTAGTAGTAATAATAATAATGCGAATCGTAGTAGTCGTAGTAAGAGATGTTGCTGTGATTGCTGTTGTTGTTGAATGCTCATTCCAGAGAAATAAATATGGTTGATCCCCCCTCTGGGGCACATCGTATGCACATTGTGTTTTTCAATTGAAATACCCTTCCTGGGGCTCGCACCTTGTTTTTATGAGGGAAAGTCCCGGGTCTCAGAATTGGGCCCCTGGCCCCCGAGTTACAACAACAACGGCTCCCGCCTGATACCGCCCCACAAGATATTCCGAAATCGCGCTCTCGCGAAGGACATCCTCACAAATTATAACAGGGATCGTGATTTCGCGTGGGAGCTCCTTACAATTTACTCAGACGCCGCGCCCTCGGTACTCCAGAACCGCGCTCTCGCTGTGGATTTCCTCGCGATGTATTTCGGAATCGCCTTGTCGCTCGAGACTCTCTCGCGATTCATGCAGGACGCACGCTTCAGCACCGCGCCTGCTCGACCTGGCCGCCTGGGCCCTCCTTTCCGACCCGCCTGTGAGGGTCTACCCGCCCGATCTGCCCGTCTGGTTTTGCCACGTGCTTTCTGCTCCTAGTCCTCCTCCTGCTATTCTCTCTCGTGCTCCATCCTGCTTCCTCCCCGGTGTCCCTTCCTTCCATCCGTCCTTTCTTCCAGTGCCTGGGGCTGCGCGAAATACACGTTGCAGGTAAGAGAGACCTTCCTCCAAAGGGGTACGGTCGACGACAAAGAGGGTGGTAACGAGGCTTTTGGGATACACGTATTGAAAGGCACGCGAGCAGATCAGAGCGACGAGTCTTAACATGACTGGTGTTGCTGTGGTTGTTGTAATAGTTGTAGTTCTTGTTGTTGTCGTGGTTGGTGTTGTGGTTGTGGTTGTCGTTACTGTTGTAGTACAAGAAAGCAACGTTTTGGTTTGAGCAAAAGACCTCGGCAACTTGGGCATCAATTTCGAAGCGTTTTCCGCCGGTCAAGAGCCTAAAGCACCACACGGCACACGACAAAACAAAGCGTTTGGGGGACGGTCCCCCACGAGGGGGAGGGTAGCGTGGGAGAGAGGTAGAAACGTACGAGAGGAGCGAGAGAAGCAGCGGGGGAGGCCCGGCAGAGCGAGGGGGAAAATGAAGGGAGGGGACTGGAGGGCTGGGACAGGTGAGCAGAGGAGCGGAGGCTGGTGGCGATGAAGAAAGGACAAGGAGGAGCGGGAGCGAACCAAAAAGGGGTCAGGAGCGAGACACGACGCGGATAGGACCGAAGCGGAGGATTGATAGTGACGGAGGGACCATGGAGAGCGAAGGGCATCAGGAGAGGGGTGGGGGGAAATAAGGAACAAACGGCGGAGGAGAATGAGGCGGCAAGGCGACCGTGGCACGGAGGAGGAGCATTTGCGGTGGGAAAGGAATGTGAAGAACGCGGGTGGTCGGGGGATAACGCAAGGGAGAGGCGGGAGTAACAATACATATGTAGACCGGAGAATACTATTCTCCGGAGGAAACAGAGAGAGAGGGAGAAACAAACACAAGGGGAGATCAACTACAACATATTAGCGCCGAGTATGTCAGAGGTGCGTGGGCAAGATAATGAAGCGAACACAACTTTAGCTACAACCGAGCGCTGTGACACATGCAAGATGCCGCGCTTGAGACAAGCCGGGGACGAGAAAAAAACAGGGGGGTGAACGAACGAGCTGGCAAAACCATCCTGCTTCGGATGGAAATGGAAACATGCATACACATGTGTACACTGGCATGGATGACGCCACAGATGGATACTTATTCGCCGAGCGCGTTCCACTACTCGCAAAGTGCCTACTCGCAAACGTTCGAAAACACCTGTCTGCTTTGACGTAATTGATCGTAGATCCCTGGCGGGGGATCCATGCCATTTGCGAATAGATACTTCGCGAGTAGTGGAATGCGCTCGTCGACTTATGGCGATTGTTATGGCGAAGTCGATATCCGCATCGACGGGCAAACACAATAATAGTATAACATTCAAAATAAGTAGACGACACATATATGTCAATCGGAACGCTCGCTTCCCGAACGAATGCCATGTACGCATTCGTCGTCCTCCTCCTCCTCGCACCCACTCTAACGACGACTCGGAAAATGGTACATGGTGGGCACCCGGGCTGCAATTTGTGGCACGCCCGTCCGAACGTCCCCATGTGCGCGTTGTGAAAGCGCTGATGGATACATTGCTGGACCCTTGCTTCTACTGAAGCGGCCACCGCGGTCACCCGCGAAGCCCCTCAATCAAAACCAGTCAGGCCTAGGGAGTCTCAACGTGGTGCCGACAATGCGAATGAGCGGGCAGGTCGAAAATAAACGCGCGCACCTACCCCACACAAAACACCCGACCGCAAACTTTACATCCGCGCTTCTCTCCAGCCTTGCATATTTTCATACGCCGAACGGGCAACTCTTGCCCGGCAGCACTGCGCGGTCCCCTTCAAAGACGGAGCCCCGCCTGGTCCCTTGGTGGCATCCGCGCGCCAGGCTCGTTCTGCAGCGTGCTCACGACAAGCATGGCGGATATAACGGTGGCGCTGGAGCCCCTGGCTGTTTACGACAAAACGTTTCATGTACTCAACGTCGCGCATCGCGCTGGCGAGGGCGCGCCAATGCGACGGCGATGACACAACGCTCACCTGCAGACGGCGCGACCCCAAATCGGACTACAACCTGCCTCAACTGCTCGCGCTGTTGAGTCTGTTGCGCGTGCTTTTTCGGCGCCCTCCGGGGTCCGCACGGAGCTGGTGGTTTCGCCAGGAACGTGCTGCTGAACCTGCACCGGTGCCAAAGACTCCCCCGTTCCGCGCGACCCCCACAGCGGGGGGTGGCGGAGGGCGACTCGAAGCCTCTCGAAGCTGTCAAGGCTGATGCCCGATCAAAACAATCGATGGCCGCCGTCGCCCTCCGTAATTGTCCTCGCAGCGGCGCGGTGCAGCCGCAGTGCCCGAGCAGCTGGGGCGCCGCGCGTTCTGAACTCTCGTCCCCGCGCATCTCAAGAGAACACTTTGCACTGCGGCACCGATCTTTCGCCCACGGCTGGACCAACTTGGTAGCTAGACCACGGAGATCTCCACCTTTTCTTTGCGCAAGCTCTGGGGGGCTCACGGACCCGCAGCGTTAGTCGGGGCCGCGCGCGGCGGACCTCCTCCTACTTTTGCCTCCTTCTGCGTCAATCTCCGCGACGAGATATCCGGCAGCGGTGCCAACGGTCGCCCCCCCGCCGCCCACCTGATGCAACAGGTGCAGAACACGAGAGCAGGCAGGTTTGGGGGAGAGGATTGAGGGTCAGCATGGGGGAACAGGGCCACATTAACTAGCCAGCATCGAATCCGTAAGTCGGATCGAATCTTCATGTACATCGGATCGAGCCGCATCGGCTCGGCATCGTAATCGAATGAGATCGGCTGCGCCAGGATGCACAACAACGCCAAACAAACATCGGGCCGCATCGATTCGTCGGAATATCGTAATCGAACTGGCTCAAGCCAGCCTTGATTGACATCGGATATGGATCGAAATTAACCCCTCGACGATGGAGGATGAGCGTGCAAGAGCAGGGTGGAGCAGACGGAGCTCTGAGATCAGTGGTCTGCGCCTTGATGACGTAAGTCGCCCGCTCGATCTGATTGATGTACATGCCGTAGTAGCGGGGCAAGAATGACCCGAATCTACTGCCTGCCCGGGAGGGCGACCGACATCAACTCGCCCTATGGAGAGACTGGCAGCTGGCAGCTCGCCTAAGGAGAAGTAAGAGGGTCCAAACACACGCAGAAGGCGGCGGCGCTTCTGAGAGGCCGTCTGGCCTTCTGAAGCCCCCCTCTGCGGCCTCGGAGAATGCCCAGGGAGCTTGCTTCCCAGAAGGCCAGAGGCCTCCCGAGCCCTCTAACAGGGTCCGCCCGCCTTTTGCCATCCCGCTTGGGGCGCGCCGCCGAGTCAGGGTACCTTTGGCACGTGTGATTGCCTGGCTCTCTGTCTCTGGACGCGAAGCCACGAGCCCTGCCCCCAGGCACGTCTGGCACTGACAACCCAGGGTACTCCAACCCTCCAAGAAACATCTGGGAGGCAGCAAACTGAGAATTGAGAAGATGCGGACAGGGAGGATGGGGGGAACGAGGCGAGGAAAGGAGGGATAGATACGTTCGAAGGGGGGGGGAACAGGCGAGAAAGAGCGTGCCTGACCAAGGGACACGAGAACTACACTCCAACGAACTGCGGCCGCAACATGAACGGGGCTCGACGCCCTCCCGCGCGTCGCCCTTCTGAATCATCATGCACCTCCAAATTGGTTCTGGCCTCCACCTCCTCCTCCTCCTCCTCCTCCTCCCCCTCCTCCTCCCCCTCCTCCTCCTCCTCCTCCCCCTCCTCCTCCCCCTCCTCCTCCTCCTCCTCCTCCTCCTCCTCCTCCTCAGAATCAACCGGCAAACTACCGGCTTCGGGGTCAACCCGCACTAACGCATGATGACTTCTGCACAAACAATATGGAACGTACCAGAACGTATTTCTGGGTATATCGTGCCGTGCGGTGTTGTGCCGCGCAACCTATGGCACACTGCATCGCGCAACCTACGGCGAAACCTACAGCGCAAACCATGGTGGCCCTCGGCGCCCAAAACGGCGCAACCAGTGGCAGGCCTCGGCGCAACCTACGCATGGGGCAAATCTGGTGCAACATAAGCAACCCCAGCGCAACCTACGGCACTAACTATGGCACAACCTTTGTGCAATGTTCGATGGAAGTAGACAAAAAACACAGGGAAATAATCGATAATTCCCTGAGCTGAATCCGGGCCAGAACAGAGTTGAAAGCGCGTGTGCAACTTGTTTCTGAAGTGTCGCTACCGTTGCTTCTCCTCTCCTCATCCTCGCTCTCCTGCTCCACGACTTGTTGTCCCGACGTATAATCAGCCGCAAGTTCAGATAAGAGCGGATGCGACCCCCCAAATTGCAGCTCCGTGGCGCTTTCCAGAAGGCCTGCCTAGAGAGCCACGCTGGAAAGCACAAAAGCTGGACCCTGGTTCCCTGGCGTGACCCTTCAGCCTGGCTCTTACGTGGGAGGAGGTTGGTCTGGGATGGTTTCCAGACGAACCTCCTCCCGCCTGGTCCACTCGCACGAAGCGATGGAGTAACACCATTCGTCCGAAATCGCATTGACAAAACAACTTCCGTAGTCCCACACGCACTGTAACGGCAAGCCCGTATTCAAGGTGTTTCAGCATTGCTCCAGTAGGGACCCAACAGCCCGAAGAGTCAAGAGGGCCCCAAACGGCGCCCAACGAACGAACGTCAGCCTTGCGCCGGACGGCGCGCGAGCAGGGTGAGACAGGAGATAACCAGTGCCGAAATGCAGCGCTATTTACAGCTGGTGTCATTTCGTTACTGCAGACTCCCATGAGGCCGCTGCTCTGCCGTCGCGGCAGAATAATGCAGAGACGGCGCCCATGCATATACAAAAACCCTTCATCGAATCCCGTAAAACCTCAAACGCGCTCGAAAGCCGTCACGTGATTCCATATCACGTGCCTGTCACGTTGCTATGCCTTGGGAAACGGCAGTGATCCAGCACGGCCAACTTCACCGAAGCAACCCCGATGATGCCCAATGATCTCCCACGGACGGCAAAGAGTACACCCCCGAGCCAGTCCCAAAACGCCCAAACAGCACCGCCCAAGGTGGCTCCATACGGCCCTGGACCAGCACAAGGCTGCCGCCAAACACCCGACAGACGGTGAAAGTCACTGCCGCCCAATACCCACTCGTCTGGACCGAGGCCCAACAAAACAATCTGGCACCGAAATTTGCCCTGCTATGGCCATTGGTGGGGGGACGGGATTTGGGCCAATTTTCGCAGCCTCTAGATTGGTCGGCCAAAGCACCATACATTCGTCATGAGAAGTGGTGATGCTGGACATTGATGGGGGCGGGGCACGAGAGATCGGATCGCTTCCCCCTCTCCCCCAGAACTCTGTCCAGCGTGCCCCTCTTCCACAGCGGCTGCACATGCATGCTCCGTTGTTTGTGGTTCGAGCGATTTTCGCTTCCGATCGGAACCTCTTGGGCGTGGCCTTCGCAATGCTGTTTCACTCGGATCGGCTGCGACCGTTCGTCCTCGGCCGTCCCGAGTGCGCTCTCGCCTTGGGTGTTCCGTGAAGTCCTGCCCCCCCTACCACTGCAATTGCACTGGTGCCACTCCCCTCTCCCCTGACCCCGTCAACCGCGAGTGTCGCCTCTCTCGCGGGTACCATTGTGCCGTCGCCTCCCGAGCGCGCCCCGGGATCCGCGCGCCGCGTGGGAATGCCGAGATCCCCGAGGCGCGGTGACCCCGTCCAGTGCGAGGGCCACCTCTCCCGAGGGTGCCATTGTGCCGTTGCGCCTCCAGAGCGTGCCCTGGGACCCGCGCGCCGCATGGGAACGCCGAGATCTCCGAAGCGCGAGGCGCGCGCGGTGCTCGTCATTCTCGTCGCCGTCGTCGTCGTGTTCCTCCTCCTCATCCTCTTCCTCCTCCTCCTTCTCTTCCTGCTCCTCCTCGGAGGCGTCCTCATTGATGTCCTCCTCCTTCTTGTTTTCCTCCCATCCGTAGTGTTGGTCGGGCGTGTCCCCCTACAGGCGGATGCTGGACGAATGAAACAAAACACAGACATGCTCAACAATACTCCAAAATAGTGAAACAATCGCCCCCGGACCCCAGACTATGTATGAGCTATTCTTGAATGTTCCCCCTGTAGAAGGACGCGCCCGAATTCACCGTAATCCTCCCCCTTCCCCCTCCCCCCCTCCTTTGGCCTGGCACCGGGCCCCTCGCGCTGCAAACACAATTCTCAAGGGTCAACGCTGCATTCTGCAGTTGCACTGGCGAAGCAGAACAAACCTGATCGGACAAGAGCGGGAAGCGTCGCTTTTGTCCACTAGGTATGTGAAGTATGCTCTTAAGTTGGTCTGCCGCGCAGATATGTCGTGTCGTGCGTGCGTTTTCGCGGGCGCGTGCTTGCGTGGAATATGTGCATGTGTGTCCGTGCGTGGTGGTCAACGGCACTGCTGTGTTATGCCGTGCTACTCTGCCGTGCTCCAGCGGTCTGCGTGAACGTATGATGCCTCTCTGTGTGTGCGTGTGGGTGCGTGTGTATGTGTCTGTGTTCGTGTTCGTGTGCGTGTGCGTGTGCCGGTGTGCGTGTGCCTATGTGCGTGTGCCTGTAGATGCGGCTGTGTGAATAGATGTTCTATGTGTTCTGCCGTGTTCATGCGTGTTCTGCCGTGCTCATGTGTGTTCTGCCATACTCCTTTGTATTTTGCCATGATTCGCTCCGCCGTGCTCCTATGTGTTCTGCCGTGCTCCTGCGTGTTCTGCCGTGCTCCCGTGTGTTCTGCCGTGATGTTGCTTGTTCTGCCATGCTCGTGTGGTGTGTGTGATCTGCCGCGCTCCTGTGTGTTCTGCCATGCTCCTCTGTGTTATGCCGTGCTCCTATGTACTCTGTGTGTTCTGCCGTGATCCTCGTGATCCTGCGTGTTCTGCCGTGCTCCTATGTGTTCTGCCGTGCTCCTGCATGTTCTGCCGTCAATTCTGCCGTGCTCCTATGTGTTCTGCCGTGCTCCTATGTGTACTGCAATGCTCCTGTGTGTTCTGCCGCGCTCCTGCTTGTTTTGCCGTGCTCCTATGTGTTTTGTATGTGTGTTCTGCCATGCTCCTGTGTGTTCTGCCATGCTCCTGCGTTGTCTGCCACGGTCCTGCTTGTTCTGCGGTGCGCTGCCGTGCTCCTCCTGCTACTGCGTTCTACTGTTATCCTGTGTGTTCTGCCGTGCTCCTGTGTGTTCTGCCGAATTATTGTGTGTTATGTGTGTTAAAGTTAAAGATAAAGACGGGGCCTTCAAGGCAAGTGGTGGCCAGAACGCTGCCAGAGGAGGCCGCTTTGGGCCCCCTCCCAGACACGCGCAGCACAGACAGAAGGCGAAGCCTCTGGTATATACTACAAAAGACAACCATCGAGTGCAGCACTGACAAAAGCATATACTACACAAGACCACAACGAGTGCAGCACCGGAAAGAATAGATACTACTCAATATCCCATTCGACTCAACTGCACTCATCCACTCACCCACAGCGTGTTCTGCGGGGCGTAAACGAGCTACAATCCTCCACACAATCTGATAAGGCGATCGATCTCTCTGGCAAGCTCAACAGACATCCCAGGCGGAAGGGCTTCAACCAGACGAGGCCCGAACGCGAACCTCGCCCAATGATGCAGCGGCCTCCGTGCGGGAGGAATCCTGAGGCCGAAGGAGTCGCCCTCGATCAGGTGCATGAGGTCAACAGCCTTTGCGTGGCGCGCCCAGGCGGGGCCCAGAAACCCTGGCGCGCTCCCCCGCCGAAGAATACCACGCAAGCCCGAGCAGCTCCCAATCTCAAAAACGTGCGGGGCATCTGCGAAGCGGACTCTCCGCGCCCGCAGCACGCCGCCCGCAGCCTCGGGGACGGCGTCCTCGTCCAGCGATGGCCCCAGCCAGACTCTGGCGATTGCCGCGCGCGCCAGCCACCAGCCAGGGGCACGACGAGATGCCGCACTGCCAGGCTGCGAAACTGGCACGGCGCCCTGCGGCGGGCCCGCGGCCCCACTCACCCCCTCAGAGTCGTCGACCAGGGCGGGGGGGACGCCTCTGGTCGGAAACTCAGCAGCAGCCGCCT